TGTAGAGTGAATGCAGTGACTGTGTAGAGTGAATGCAGTGACTGTGTAGAGTGAATGCAGTGACTGTGTAGAGTGAATGCAGTGACTGTGTAGAGTGAATGCAGTGACTGTGTAGAGTGAATGCAGTGTGTGTAGTGAATGCAGTGTGTGTAGTGAATGCAGTGTGTGTAGTGAATGCAGTGTGTGTAGTGAATGCAGTGTCTGTGTAGTGAATGCAGTGACTGTGTGTAGTGTGTAGTGGATGCGGTGACTGTGTTGGTGTGTTGTACGTAGAGTGGATGCGGTGACTGTGTGGTGTGTGTGTGTGGGAGTGGTCTGGTGACTGTGTGGTGTGTGTGTGTGGAGTGGATGCGGTGACTGTGTGGTGTGTGTGTGTGGGGTGGATGCGGTGACTGTGTGGTGTGTGTGTGTGTAGGTGGATGCGGTGACTGTGTGGTGTGTGTGTGTGGGTGGATGCGGTGGGCTGTGTGGTGTGTGTGTGTGTGGAGTGGATGCGGTGTTTGTGTGGTGTGTGTGTGTGGAGTGGATGCGGTGGGTGGGCTGTGTGTGGTGTGTGTGTGTGGAGTGAGATGCGGTGACTGTGTGGTGTGTGTGTGTGTGTGGAGTGGATGCGGGCTGTGTGGTGTGTGTGTGTGTGTGTGTAGAGTGAATGCAGTGACTGTGTAGTGTGTGTGTGTGTAGAGTGAATGCAGTGACTGTGTAGAGTGAATGCAGTGACTGTGTAGAGTGAATGCAGTGACTGTGTAGTGAATGCAGTGACTGTGTAGTGAATGCAGTGACTGTGTAGTGAATGCAGTGACTGTGTAGTGAATGCAGTGTGTGTGTAGTGAATGCAGTGACTGTGTAGTGTGTGTGTAGTGAATGCAGTGACTGTGTAGTGTGTAGTGAATGCAGTGACTGTGTTGTGTGTAGTGAATGCAGTGACTGTGTTGTGTGTAGTGAATGCAGTGACTGTGTTGTGTATAGTGAATGCAGTGACTGTGTGTGTAGTGAATGCAGTGACTGTGTAGTGCAGGTAGCGTTTACTTACCTTTCTTGTAGCTCCTCCAGCTCCCAGTGCAAATCTCGCAGCACTTAGTGCCGCGCGGAGCGTTGCCATAGTAACCAGTGGCAACGCTCTGACGGACGCGGGTCTTGCGAGATTTGCACAGGGGAGCTGGAGGAGCTGCTGGAAAGGTAAGTAAACGCTACCTTGTTCAATAATCAGATATATAATTCCTATAACATCTTTAATGCTAGGTTATATGATTCTACGGCACTATTTATACAGTTTTCTGGTTAAACTCCTCACCACTTTTTTTTTTTTTTTTTAAACAAAAAAGGTGTGTGGAGGGGGGGGGTTATTTCTATCCGTCGAGACGTGGCTTACTAATTGTCTTATATTCTGGCTCCCCTGTTAGTCATTCCGTTTTAGAGATCCCCCAAATTTATGGTTTTGGAATGGCTGTTTGTTAAAGTCCGGGTTTCAAAAAGAACTTGGTTCCACATCTACGTTACAGGATAAGTGAACAACATGGCTTCTGGCATCCATGTTGCATTATAATTCTGCATTTTAATTAATGGTTTGTAGTTCGCGCTTGATTTGATCACTATGCCTGACAACACCCACTTCATCAAAGGGTTATCTACATTTATATAGTGCTAAATGGGCAAAGATGGCTTATTTATTGAAAGGAACTCTAATTTTTTAGATCCAGAAAAAAACAAACCATGTCAAATAGATCCTGTGTATTTTTGTTATGAATATATCATTACCCATTTTAGTGCGTCTCCTGGTTTACCCTTGTTCAGTAGTATAGTCTAAGACCATACAACATTTCAATTGCTAAAATAGTTGCAGAGTGCAATTTTGAGATGCACTCTTGGGCATGTTCGTGAACTCACAATGCCAATTTATTACATGGATGATATTTGGTGAGATAAACAGTACTTCCAACCAAAGAGATGAACTGAAAAAAAGTCCAGCATTGGGACTCATTTGCTGCGGCCCCCAGCACTGCTCTGGTGATGTAAGCAGGCATGCTAACATCACCCATAATCATGTCCAATCCAGTGCCTCTCATAGCAACTCCAATCAAATGTTACGAACCACAGCATTTGATTGCATGTCCAAGTTTTTCTCAGTTATGGTTACTGAAGTGCCTCTGGTGGCTGTTGGGAAGACAGCCATTTGCGACTTGCTAAACTGTTTAAAGTAAGCAATAAACATTTGCCATAAAGTTAAAAGGTAATCTAACATCATCGAGGAGGGATGACTTCATCTGGCGATGTTTCTCAAAGAGCATTGGGGGACCTGGTGTGCATGCGCGGCAATTGCGACACGCGGGTCCAAGCTTCCCTATAGGAAAGCATAGAATTAAATGCTTTCCTGTGAGCTGCAATTGATGATCAATGTTGAACGTCCTGTGACCGTTTTTACTTGGTCGGTGCAGCAGAAGTGCATCTAAAGGCTATCAGTGTGACAGCCATTCGACCTGGAAATGTATTAACTTGAAGAGTTAAAGGAATATTATAAGCCCCAAAATAACTAGATTTATGAAGCTGTTTTAGACCATGCCCCTGCAGTCTCACTGCTCGATTCTCTGCCACTTAGAGATTAAATTACTTTTGATTCTGTTTTTGCATCCCTATCCTCTCCTCCCTGGTTGTGACTCACACAGCCTGCATAAAAAAAGATTTCATATTCACTCTGCACAGTGTGTTTACTTTTAGAAGTCTTTGTCTCTTGGGTTGTTAATTTAAATTAACTTTCACTGCACACAAAGGCACCTGCAGGCTATTAAAGGGACACTCCAGGCACCCAGACCACTTCTGCCCATTGGAGTTGTCTGGGTGCCAACTCACACGACCCTTAACCCTGCAACTGTAAAATATTGCAGTTTTCATAAACTGTAATATTTACCTTGCAGGGTTAACTCCTCCTAGACAGCCACTAGAGGGCACTTTCGGGTTTCTAGCCTAGATTTTCTGTGCTATATCGTCGCTGGATGTCCTCGTGCTATGTGAGGACCTCTAGCGTCGCTAAAAATCCCCATAGCAAAGCATTATTCAATGCTTTCCTATGGGGAGGTCTAATGTGCGTGCGCGGCCGCAAATGCACAATCGGTCTCCCCTGACAGATGATGCTGGCGGGGGTGGGGGGGACCAGCACCAAGGGACATCTGCAAGTCACTGAAGGGGTTTAAACCCCTTCAGCAACCTGGGGTGGGGACCTGCAGTGCCAGGAAAAGTTTGTTTTCCTGGCATTGGAGAGTCCCTTTAACAGTGGGAGAAAATAGATTCTAAATTAAACACAGGGCAACAAAGTTTAAGCATTAGATCTTTACAGGAAATGTGTAGAGGCTGTGCATGTCATGGCTAGGGAAGTTGTGCCTAGGACTCCATAAACAAAGTTTAATTTCCAAATGGCAACTATCCTATGCGTGACAAAAAGTGGAGCCAACTTTTTTATTTTTTTATTTTTTTGTCAATTTACTATTGATGGCTGAGGAGAAAAAAAGTCTGTATATGGAGGATCTTGCAGGATCCTCCATAGACCTGCCATACCTTTTATGTCAACTGAAGAGGCCCAGCAGTAAGAAGATGGCGGTGTTCATGAGGGACAGGTTAAAGTAAGTAGAACTCGCCTTCCCCTGCACTCCTTGACTATAGCGTTGCCAGTGGAGCAGCCACCGCCAGGGTTCTTTGCAAATTATGCGGGAGAGCGTTTAATAGAACTTCTTCCAGATCTACTGCTGTGCCCTTACCCACTTAGACCATAGATGGTATTACTGTATAAAGTGTTAAAATTTACTTTTGCTCTCATTTCTAGAAATGGACGATGAGGATTGCGAAAGACGCAGAATGGAATGTCTCGATGAAATGTCCAACCTGGAGAAACAGTTTACAGATCTAAAAGATCAGTGAGTGGACATTGATTTCCAGATCTAATGTGCCTGTATGAGCATTACGTGTAATTACCCTGTTGCTCTTTAATATTCTTGGGAACACGCTAAGCTGGTGCTTAAATTATTTCATGTATTAAAGGATCAACTGTGTATTCCTGACCCTATAGTGGTAAAAACACTATTTTGTCCCTCTTCCCCCCTGCCTCCCCCCCCCCCTTAATTAAATAAGGTAAAAACTTGCCTAACAGCAATGCGCATGTTCGCCGACGCTGTCCCCACCCCAGCTCTGCCTCATTGACGGAGATCATCAGAATTGACCATTTCCAGTGCTTTCTCATAGAAATAAATGCTGTACTGCACCAATCCGCATTGACTCAATGCATATCTATGGGAAAAGTTCAGCACCTCCTTGAAGAGTATAAAGTTGCTGACCCAGGAAGCACTTCTAGAGGCTGTCACGTGACTGCTACTGGAGGTGTCTCTAGGTGGCAATGTAAACACTGCCTTTTCTCTGAAAAGGCAATGTTTACATGAAAATGCCTGCAGGGACTGACTGTATTTACCTGAACAACTATGTTAAGCTGTAGTTATGATGACCATAGTCTACCTTTAAACCCCTCCTCCCCAAAGTCATAACCCAACAGGATTATGTAGGGATCCCTGTTTTGGCTTGGTTGCAGACAATCCATCTAATTATTTTAGATGTTTGTTTTCAGTGCTGTAGCATTTTCCAAGGATGTAGCACAAGCCAAGGAGGATGTTTCATTCATGAATAGGCATTGATAAACCTGCCGCTCAAAGAAATACTTATAAATAGGTTTAACAACTTGCTTAATAAATCCATTCATGTATTTTCATGGATCGATCAAGAATCAACTGGGACCATGGAAAAAGGTGGTTATAATGCTAATAGTTTAGAAAAAGAATTGTACTGTTTAAACACAATTGGTAAAAACAATAGAGATGTCACTAATTGGGCACATAAATATATATTCACTGATTAGATTTACTATTAATAACCCTCAGGATATTGATTCTACATGATGGGGTTGATTTTTCCTTGTTCATTTTGTGTATTTATTGGCATGCTTCTACTGCCACTAGACTATCACAGGATCCAGAAAGGTGTGTGTGTGTGTGTGTGTGTGTGTGTACGCACGCAGCTGAGCCCTTCTAGCTATATTGTCCATCTTCATTTTCTACTCCAAGCATTCACGGTGTAGCTTGGCCCTTTAATCTCCCAGTTTGTATAGTTCCATACATGCTGTCTTTACAGAATGTCTTATCTTTTCTGCATTTCGAGGTTGTACAAAGAGAGGTTGAGCCAGGTGGATGCCAAGCTGCAGGAAGTGATAGCTGGTAAAGCTCCTGAGTATCTGGAACCATTGGCAACATTACAGGAAAACATGCAGATTCGAACAAAAGTTGCAGGTATGAAGCTAACTTTATTAGTTAACGTTTTTTTTTTTTTTTTTTTAGTGTAAGGAAAATCACAAATATGCCGAAAAACACTCTTGCTTCCCAATATAAATTATATGCCTGGAGAGTTATGCATTTTGCCGGTTGCAATGGTGTATGCTCACTGCACATTGGGTTTAATTCATCCAGTGGTTACAGTGGATTTTCCTGCATGGATAGCAGCATTACATACCATAGGTGTTCCTTCCATAGTATGCAACAGACACAACATTCTGAAACCTAGGACTTATTTAAGGACATCCTCTTCCATTTGTATATTCTAGTCAAGGGGTAGGCAACTTTCAGCATTCCAGATGTTGTGGACTACATCCCCCATAATGCTTACACACATAATGCTGGCAAAGCATCATGGGATGTGTAGTCCAAAGCATCTGGAGTGCCGAAGGTTGCCTATGCATGTTTTAGTCCATGTCAAAAATAGACCATGATGTTTAAGCTTGGGCAGTTGCTAAGACACATGATTTGCAATACTGTCCACCTGGAATTATGGATCACATTCCAAAGAGATTCCATACACTTGATGTCAGAGCTGCTACCAGTTTAACTGGTTAACCGTGGGTGCTAGTCAGCCTGTCTTACTGTTTACTCGCCTTGTCCTCCAACACACTTTGAAAAACAATATTTCTTTACTTAAAAGGTTTTCTTTCCGGAGAGTGGAGACTTCAGATTGTGGCTCTTACTCCTTGTATTTGTCTGATTCCTCCTCTTCTGATATGGAGTACTCCTCTGGTTTTTGTAGCGTTTGATTGTTCTATAAATTACTTTAACCACAGTCACATGAAAAATAATCTGTAAAGAGCTCACTCTTTTCCCATTCACTCTCTTTGAGAAGGCCACACAGAGAATGGCAGGCTCCTAAGACTACTTTCAGTTAGAGGAAGATAAACCTTTATGTCCGTATCCCCATTGCTCGTTTGGATAAGAAGACTGCTCTTATTACCTTCATATCAAGATTCAGTTTGTAGATCATGGTTTTGTTGCATACACAGACAACCACTTGAAAATTAAGTTCAGAGGCAAGTAAAACAAAGGAAATTGATGCCCGGCCAGTAGGAAGAAGACCTCTGTGTTTTCAACAGAACACAAGATTGCTGAGTACTGGCTGTCATTAAAGAAGTTTACAAGAGAGAATTCAGCAGTGTTCCTCCTCCCATTTGTGTTCAAATGCTTTCAGTGAAATGGTTTCTTAAGTCACAGTGGAAAATTCTTTATGCAGTGCAAGTGATATAAGCCGTACTTCTGTCAGAAACTTTCATATGGGACTTACATGAGAATCCATGAGAGTTTTAGTAAGGAAAAAAAACTAGATACTCTGCAAATCCATGGCTGGATTATTAAAGCGGTAACTGTAACTGATAGAATCTTAGAGGGTCTCGCGGGATAGTACAGAAGTGACGTTGGCTCCTCGGCTGGAGATGACATGCCAGAAAGAGATGGCTGCGTGAGGGAAAGGTTCAGGTAAGTAGAACTCACCTTAACCTGCTCCCCCAGCTGAGACCTCTAGATTGGGGGATCGGGTCTTAGAAAATTATGCTATTATTACAATAGGAGTTTCTTTCAATCTGCATTTCTGGGTAATCGATACAACAGTCACTAGTGCATCAAGTTGGTGAGTGCATTGAGGATAGAGGACTACAAGTGATCTCTGGAATCCAGAAGGTATCTTGTTTTCCAAATTTAAGACATTAAAAGCAGTCTGTAAGAGTTAAGAGCAGAGTTGTGACCTAACAACTGGTTAACAGTGGCCTACCTGAATTGTCAAGGGGCGACTCTACCCATACCGGTCTACACTGAAGCAAAATTGTGTTGGGCAGAAGAAAATGAAATGCACAGAGCAGAGAGTACATCATAAACAAGCAGTTTGGTCGCTTTCAGAAGACCTCAGCAGATGGAGAACATATTTTGAGTTTCAGAAGTGGATTTCATGGCCACAAGGGAGAGCGAGAAACCACAAAGTGACGAGATTCTTGCAGTTTGACACTCAAAGTTAAGTTTTCAGATATTGTGGAACATTCAAAAATCATTTTATGGCATTTACCAATTCAAGAGAACGTCCTGCTAAATCGGCTGGTTCCTGTCCAGCTTGTCCTTGGGAAGAGCTACACAAGATCCTAAAATGTACTGCCACTAATCCTAAAATAAAGAGAATTCAAGTAACCTGAACTTTAAAGATTACCATCTAGGCTATAACCATTTGCAAATTGCTCTTGGCCAATATATAGTTTCGTATTTTACTAATGTTAGTGGTTTTAAACATATGCTGTCAGTACTTTTATTTTTTTCCCGTTTAAAAATAAATTTTATTCTACATGTTCAGCTGCTCTCCGTGTTTTCACCAAGGTTTTTTTATTTTTTATTTTCTTTTTCTTTTTAAGGAATATACCGTGAACTGTGTTTGGAATCTGTGAAGAACAAACATGACTGTGAAATCCAAGCTGCGCGCCAGCATTGTGAGGTAAATCTGTTTTTTGTGTTATGAAGCAGAAAGTTGTATGACTGAGCCTTGCTGCGCAAGTATCTATAGCCACCCAGTGAAGTGTAAATTACAGACGAATGTAATCCATGGTGTAAGCTTGCTGTGCTTGGTAATAGTGTGCGTAGTCTGTTTTGTTTTTGTTTTTTTCCTTTCATTTTGTTAATCTTCTAGCAGCACTGTCACTAGTAGTGTCTTTAAAATGTGATTTTATTTATTTTGCAAATTCCTGTCAGATAACATGCTTGCTAGGGGGGACTGGTATTTTTAGAATTCCTTTGTCAATCCTCAACACTTGCAGGTTAAGGGACCATGTCCCACTTGTCTTTCCAATAATGCAATCACATTATCCCACTTGTCTGGTCAATAGTCGGTTTCTATCACTTTTATATCTTGCGTTTATGATAAAAGAATTCCTCATGAAAAATGTATTGATGCTAAAACAGTAAAATGACCCAAGTAGTGTGAAGGTTGAATGGAAACCTGATAGTCTCTATCCTGTTTACCAAGCTATTTTCTTTGAACAGTGCTATCTGCAGGATCTGTATAAATTTGCCATGTGGCTCTTTTATGAAATAAAATACTGTATAAAGAGTGCAGGGAAGTCGCACCTTCAGAATGTCTTCAAATAAGTGTAGTGGTGAAACGATATGAAAGATAGGTGGACAAAAAAACAAACAAAACCTTTTAATATAGCGTAGTAGTTTTAGTTACTGAATAAATAAGAATGGCACTTACAGTTTTCTGGGACTTATGAACAGCTTGAGATATGTGTGCCTTTGCAGTACTATACCAGTCTGTGGATATGTTGATTGGTTTGGACCTTTTATAGGAATGTGTTCCAGACCAGGAGATTATGTTGCCAAGCGTTGGGTAGTATGTTCCTTCAGTCTGCGGTGTTGTGGCCATGGAAATAACCCAGTATACACACTAGAAATAAAACTGAATATAGTGCTCTCTGAATGTCACATCTTGAGGACTGGTTTGGAAATCACTGCTCTAGACTTTGTCAAGTAGCTTTAGGAGGGCAATAGCCGAAATGCTGGTATTTTTATTGGTCAGTATTCTAGGTTAATGCATGAGCACTTTACCTTGGATTATTGTGATGGCATATGTGATCTATTATGCACTTTAATACTTTATTTTTACTATATGTATAATCACATGTTAAGTGAATAAAGTCTGCAATACTTTGGTGTGCTATGGGTTTTTTATATATGGTTTCTATGACCATGTTGGTGTAACAGGTTTTTCTACCTATTGAGCACTATTTACATGATTCGCTGATTAACCCGTAACAGTCGAGCGCTATGTTTTGGTTTTTGGTTTTTTTCGTTTTTTTTTGCAAAGTAACTGTAAGACCAGACTAGCAACATACATGGCTTGGAATTTTGATCCCTATTAATGTAATTATATCATTTCAGAGTGAAAAACTTTTGCTCTTTGACACGGTCCAGAGTGAGCTAGAGGAGAAAATCCGCAGGCTGGAAGAAGACCGTCACAGTATAGATATCACATCAGGTAAATATTTTTACGTTTATGAAATTAACCAGTAGGTCTAGTATGTCATAAGTACAGCAATTTGTTAGATAATGGTAAAAATTGTATTACACTAATATCTAATAGTCTTGCGGCTTCTAAGATGCATGCTGAGTTGACGGACTCGCTAGTTACAAACTGTGTGTATTATCTCTGTTATTTGGTTGGTTAAGATGCCTGTTCTTGTATGGCTTTTCTTCACAGAGCTATGGAATGATGAATTGCAATCTCGACGGAAGCGCAAAGATCCCTTCAGTCCTGATAAAAAGAAAAAACCTGTTGTTGTCTCTGATATCCTTTTTTTTAATGTAAATTTCCAGTTTTTCATATTGGTCTAGTTTGTATAAATGTACTTAATGAGCCATCCGTCCCATTGATGGTTAAATGAAGTTATGTCAAATAACTTAAAAAAATAAATAAATAAATCATTGCCTTGTATATTCACACTATGCATGCCAGCACATGTAAATCTGCAACCTGGCATCCATGAAGAAGTTAAAATCACTAACACTGTTCCTCACCACCCCCCACATTGGAAAGAGGTAAATAACCTATGTTCACTTGCCCGATTCCAGTGCCGAGGGAAATTAAAAATTGCCATTAACGCCTTAAGGACCAAACTTCTGGAATAAAAGGAAATGACAGGTCATGTGTCCTTAAGGGGTTAAACTTACCTTTACTTCAGCACTAGAAGCCTCTTCCAAGCCAGTTTCTCTTTAACCCTGATGCCTTTTGTTTAGTTAGATCTCCTATAGAAGCATTTAGGACACGTGTGGCAATTTTCATGTTTTGCCTGTCCAATACTTCTTAATGAAATGTATTGAATTCAATGCTTTTCATAAAGTATAAGCCATGCTGTGTGAAGATCTTAAAAAAAATAAAAATAAATAAAAATAAAAAAAAAAGTGTTGAGGAGTAAGCGTCTCTCGTGGCTCTTGAAGAGAGACTAGAAGTATGTTTTCTAAACCTTATCTTTTTATTTTTTATTTTATTTATTTTAGAAATGGGTAATGTTTTATTTTGTCTGAGAAAAGTGGCAGTATCTATGCACCAAAACAGCAATAATAAAGATGATGTGGTTTTGGTGCTTGGGGTCACTTTTAATAAACCTGGATTGTTTTAAAGTAGCGTTTTTTTTTTTTAGGGCATGTGATATATTATAATTTTATTTTATTTTTCAAATTCCCTTTTAGTGTAGAGATTAAAAAAAATAAAAATGTTCCCCTTTTGTGTTACATCTTTAATTTGAGTGCTCTATAAGCTTGTTATTTTAATAGTGGCTTCCTTTAGTAATCACTTAATGGTCCTGTATATATTAAACTGCTCGTAGTCGTCCATTTATTGAAATCTGTCTCCCCAGGAATTTGGCAGAATGTCCATTTACTGCCATCATAACCAATTATCTGATTAATGCAGCAAAGCCCGTCTAACCTTGCATTTACATGCAACTCTCCAGCTGGGCCTTAAATCTACCCACACAAGCAGATTAGCTTTTTGTCTAGATTACATTTGAGTTAGGGGGTTTTGAAGCATTTGAAGATATAGTTCTTAGGACTGAATGGACAACTGACTTGGTTGCATTTATCCTAAGTGCAAAATGTATTTAAGGAAAAAAATGTTTAACCTATTATTGGCATAACCAATGGAAAACAGCTGTTTACTATATTGCCACAGTATTTATGCACTTTTCTAATAGCCTCTTAATATTTCATATAACTATTTAATTTTTCTCTCTATAAAATAGACATCTGGATTTCTTAACGCATTATTCAGAAGTCCTCCATTCTTAATATTTTGGTATTTATTATTTTAAAACTTCACGCTCCATAACCACTACAGCATGCCATAATGGCTAGTGTGCCAGTGGCTCTCCCCAATGTAAGTAGTGAAATCGATTTGACTACTTACCTGCATTCAGCCGTGCAACCGTCACTTTGCCACTGAGAGCTGCAAACTCCTGCCTGGAGCTTCTTTTAGCTCTTCTGAGCTACAGCGTGCACCTTTGTGTCAGTGGAGTAGGTCAACGGCAGAAGCCAAGGTAGGTTGGCAGACCATTTGACTACTTGAATTTGGAGGGTGCTAGGTCATTCCTAGTGACTACTACAGTAGTTTGGATGCATTAGACTAAAATGGGTATGCCATTATCTGACTGCATTTTTCTGAGGATTTGTCAACAGAATGTGTAAATATTCATCGAAAATATGATAAAATTATTAGCTACTTTTTATTTGCTGAAATCATAAGTAGCCATAAAAAAAATGTTTCTTGGGATATTTGGCACATATGTCACATTTTAAGGTGACTGCCACCAGATTACTGTAGTTTTCCCTTTTCGTAGCACTCTAGAAAGGAAATGTGTTCTGAATATGAATATATATTTCAAAGTATTGCTTTCTTTATCCTTCTTACGTCCATATATTGTTTACATGTTACAAGACCTGGATATACTTGAAGACTGGACAACAATAAGGAAGGTGAGTTTGTGAAGTGTTGGCAATTTATCGTTGTCAAGGGTTCTATACAGAAAGTTTACTTCTATTTACATGCCTGGATATTCTGCTCAGATTTACAAATTTATCATGGGGAGATCAAATGGAAAATAAGTGGAACAAGTTTACAATCTAGGAGATTAAGATAGAACTCTCTGTTTTCTTGTTCTGTATGCACAATTTCACTTAGGGGGACATTCTTGGTACCCATTAATTTAGTTTATTATAATGCTTAACCATAAAGAAGAAAAAGTTTTTATACCTCAATTCCAACCATCTGCATCTCCCCCGACCTGTTTGCACTTGTGCTTCAAATGTTACTGCCCAAAATGTCATGAGATGGAGTTCTGTAATTTCTAGTTCCATTTGTCTTTCTAAAGTAAAAAGTGGACCAGAACTATAACTACATCTACAGTTTCACTTGTTTAGATTACAGTTAATTTGTTATGGTCTTTCAGTAAAGCCTGAGTCAGTGAACCCATGAAAAAATACACTTTAACCAATGACTGTTTTTGCTGTTTTATAAAACCTGACCTGTAGAGAACACATTCCAAAATGCCATTCCACCAGTGCTGCGTGGTAGTGCTGATTGTAAATAAGATATTTCACGCTAGCGTAAAGTCTTCATAGACCAGGTTTTAATGGTGCAAAAACTACTGGTTCCTTTGGGTAAGTCGCTTCCGGAAAATTCTAAACACAAGCAATGGCTTGCCCAAAAATAATTCTCCCCACCCCCCAAAAAAAACCACTTTGTAGAAGTTTATGGAGGTTTTACAACCCGAACAGCTTGAGGTTCTATATATTATTTACATTAATGTAATGATTCAATAGACTATCGGATATAAGATAACAATTTATTTAGATTTTATTTATTTTTGAGCCTTGCTGAGAAAGTCAATATTAATGAGTGCATACTACATTGTGTAATTCTAGGAAATGCAGGCTGATGTTACAAATTTATTCACACAATGTATTACAAAACCGAGAAATCATAACATCTGTTTGCAAGGCTGTTATTGGATAAAATGTTGGCAAATTTTCTCTGAGAATTATTTTAATTTGGTAATTAACATCTACTATGTTGGTTTCTTAGAGTAATGTGTGAAATACATTATAATTTTTTTTTTATTTTTTTTTCCTCTTTCTTTTTTTCCCCTCTTTCTTTTTTCCCCCCCAAACATTTTATCATCCAGGCCATGGCCACATTAGGACCTCATCGGGTAAAGTCAGAAGGTAAGTTGTGGTCGGTGAGATTTTGTCCTTTAGACATACAGGACACAGCAGACCAGTCACTATAGTATTATCTAAATCGGTATGATTCATTTGTATATAAATGAGCATTTATACACTATACATATAGTGGACTAGATGGAAGCTAAGGGCTTGACCCTAATTCCGCTAGAATGAGAAAATTATAGGGGAAACCAAAGCAAGATAAACTCACATCTAGTGCATTATCAAAACAATGCAGTAAGGAAATGTAACAAGTTTTCATTAACAGTAGGGTAAAACGTATTCTGTATTAAATAAATATTTTTTTTTTTACATTCTTTATTTTTGTAGTGCAAATCAAGCAAGTAAAAGCATTGAGACATGGGTGTATATGTAATATGGAACCAGGGCCGGCCTTAGGCCTTTAGGCGCCCTGTGCGAAAAATATTCACAGCGCCCCTCCATGGTCACATGCCCTCATCCATCTTGTAAAAAGTCCATTACATAGGTGTTACGTATTAACGTGATTTCTGGACATATCATACATATACACGTATATTAATACATTTGTAAATATTATAGGTGTAATAAAACATATAATAATAATATTAATAATAATAATACACCCATATTAATATACATGTATATTTAAATATTACTCTCAGAAATCATGAGCAGAAAATTATATATATATATATATATATGTATGTATGTATGTATGTATGTATATATGTATGTATGTATGTATGTATGGGCTAGAAGAATTCCTCCCACGTGTATAGATTTGGGAAAAACAAACCTATGTGAAGGAACACTCAAGCATTAGGAGTAAAAACACATTTCTAACAAGTGTCCTGACTCCCTGAAATTGCCATGCCATTATGTTGTGTGTGGAATAGGGATGTAGCGTGTTTGTGTGTGTGTGTGTGTGTGTAGGTTAGGTAATGTGTGTGTGTGTGTGTAGGTTAGGTAATGTGTGTGTGTGTGTGTGTGTGTGTGTGTGTGTGTGTGTGTGTGTAAAGGGGATGTAGTGTGTGTGCATAGGGTATATAGTGTGTATGTGTTTAGGGAACGTAGTGTGTATGGGTGCAAGTTACGTAGTGTGTGTATATATAGGGAGCATAGTGTGTCTGTACATTTTGTAGTGTTTGTGAGATATCTAGTGTGTATGTGTAGAGAACAAAGTGTGTTTATAGGGAGCGTTGTGTGTGAGTAGATTATGTAATGTGTGAGTAGATTATGTGGTGTGTGTGGATTATATAGTGTTTATGTGAGTAGATTATGGCGTGTGTGTATAGGGGATGTTCTGTGTGAGTAGATTATGTAGTGTGCGTGAGTAGATTATGTAGTGTGTGTGTGTGTGTGTGTGTGTGTGTGTGTGTTATGGAGTGTGTGTAGGTAACACAGTAAGGGTGGGATAGTGATGATTTGTGGGTAGGAGGGGGTGACATAAGGCTTTAAATGAGGAGATGGGAGAGCAATTTCAGGTTTTGTTTTCTTAAAATTAATTAATGTTGATTCCCCCCTTCTGCCCCCCTCGTTCTTGCATACCTTTGGGCAGGGATGGGGGAATACTGATGACCTGGTGGTCCAGCGGTCTCTGCCAGTCCTTTCAGAACACGAGCCCTCCTCTAGCAAGCTCTGCGTTGATAGTATGAGAGCGTTGCCACGGCAACACTCTGAATGCCAAGCTCGCGAGAGGAGAGCAGATTTAAAGCGCTCAATGCTCGCTCCCATCATCCAAACAGCGGGCCAGTGAGGGAGGTCCTCAATCTACTCACCAGCCAATATCAAAGCAGAGCGCACTCTGTAAGGGTCGACCAGCTGGGGCGCAATCTTTCACCCACCAGAGCGCTCTGAGGTAGGGCAGGACCTGGTTGTGCGAGCTGTGTTGGTTGCCCGGCGCCCCTGTTGGCATGGCGCCCTGTGCGGCCGCACAGCTCGCACACCCCTAAGGCCGGCCCTGTATGGAATGTAAAGAACACTGCACTATTTTTGGCTGTATTTAAAATGTAATTCTCATCTTTTATAAATATAAAATGCAACATGCCCATAGATTGGTTCGTACTGGAAATCATTAATTCATTAAATAAAGACACTCTAAACCCTACATTTAAAAAAACAAAACAAAAAAACCCCAGAAGATCCGCGTCCTCTTTTGGCACAATCTATTCAGTTTGTTTCCCATTTGTTACCACAGTTGTTACAGTAATCTTTTCAACATTATTTGTGTTGGAATTTTGTATCATATGATGCTAGTGTTTGATTACATTTGTAGCAGAGAAACTTTCTGCTTTTTTCCATGAGTTCTTCCATCTATTTGTAATTCTGTTGCTATTTCTTTAAACAGCATTTATATGTAGTCTGTATTTCTAGTAGACGTGTTTTAGAATCCAGTATATTTGTGCACCTAGACTAAATAACCTCCTTTCTTTAGGTTCTTCCCTTTTACTATACACTGGTCACTTAGTGGCTCCGATCTATTATGAAACCATAGATATGTATGGAGTAAAATAAATATTGAATTTTCAACTTTGCACTAATTATAGGTCAAATACAACATTATACCGTGCTTTAAATGTGACCCTAGTATTGTGTAATAATTCTTACTTTCACTTTATAATGTTATGTATGTGATTTGTTTCAATAACATGATTTCATGGTTGTGGTTTTGTCGCTTTTGTTTGTGTTCTTTTATGCAGGATGTTGATTTACTCGATTTGGATTGTTTTGATTAGGAGATGAATTTATTTTGTTCTGGTTCCCCATACATTTTTCTGTTTTCTGTTTTGTGCAGCCTTACAATCCACTTGCTGTGGAGTATTTTTAGTGCATACAGAGAACACAGATTAATTTTAAAACCCAAACGAAATCTGCCACGTTTGTAAAAGCCATTTGATAGGCTGGGACATGGATGAAGTTGAAACTGCTTTTGTTTCTTAACCCCTTAAGACCGGAGGGCGTACTATTACGCCCTATTCTAAGCGGCTCTAAACACCGCCGGGCGTAATAGTACGCCCTTCGGTCTTTTCCTACTTATCCGGTCGCCGGCGTTCGGGGGACTCCCAGGGAGCCCTCCGCAGCACGTCCGACGTCCTCATGTACAGGTTTTATGGTGTTTTCAAAAGTTACAGCGTCAAATATAAGGCTTGCGTTTCATTTTTTTCACATTAAAATTCGCCAGATTGGTTATGTTGCCTTTGAGACCCTATGGTAGCCCAAGAATGAAAATTACCCCTATGATGGCATACCATTTGCAATAGTAGACAACCCAGGGTATGTCCAGTCTTTTTTAGTAGCCACTTAGTCACAAACACTGGCCAAAATTGGCGTTTTTTGCATTTTTCACACACAATCAAATACTAACGCTAACTTTGGCCAGTGTTTGTGACCAAATGGCTACTAAAAAAGACTGGACATACCCCATTTGCAATACCTTGGGTTGTCTACTATTGCAAATGGTATGCCATTATAGGTGTAAATTTCATTCCCGGGCTACTATACAGTCTCAAAGGCAACGTAACCAATCTGGCGAATTTCAATTTCAAATGTAACATGCTATATTTGACCCTGTAACTTCCCAAAACGCCATAAAACCTGTACATAGGGGGTACTGTCTTACACGTGAGACTTTACTGAATACAAATGTGTATTTTATTGCAGTAAAAGCAAACCGTATTATGACATTGACCGTTAAAATGTCATGTAGAACTAAAAAAATCCAAAAAAATCTTATTTTCTCCCATTTTTTTTAAGTTACATTTTGCATTCGTGTTATAAAGTGTGTTGTTTTTATTTTTTTTTATTTTATTATTAGTTAGACTTTTTCTCTTTCTTTTTCTCTAGTGACTGTAAAACTGGAGAAACATCAACATAGTGCCAAATCAGAAGAGGGTCGCCTACACTATGATGGGGAATGGTACGGACGAGGACAAGCCATCTCCATTGACAAGAAGGATGAATACCCAACCAGGTATAGGACCTTCTAAAAAAAGGATAGCTGAATATACCATTATCATACTACAGTATACTGTCATATTTTATTTTTGTTCCAAATATAATGAGCTACTTGGAAACATTTGAGGGCTGCTGCTTTCCCAGAAATCTGTCTCTACTGGGCAGTCCCAAAAGTAGATGGACCATAAAGGGGCAGAATCGTCCCTAAAATGAGCATTTTTAATTTTTTATTTTTTTTTACTTGGTTTATTATGCAGATTTAAGTAGGACGTGTGTGGGGCTAAAAGCAGCTTCATGCCTTTACCCACATTAACGTGTTGCCCTTGAAACCTGGCTAATGCCTGCCTTATCTGAAGCTTCTAGTGGGATAGCAACACATACCCGTGCTTGCTACTTAGCTGGTAGAAAGTGCATCTTGTTATTGGTTTGCTGTATGTTTTTTATTTTTTAAATGCCCCACTCCTTCAGTTTAGTAAACCTAAAAGAAATATTAATAATCAGGTTCCTCCTAACAGATGCTTCCATGAAGGTGAGGCTTTTATAGAGACATACGCTATTCCCATGACTCTGCAATCTGTTTGAAGGTATGTAACATAACCACACATCTCCTGACCAACTGCCTTTCCTTCTTCAGGTTTTCTTTTTCTTTTTATACTGTAGTGTGAAGACTATCTAAAAAAAATAATAATAATCTTTGCACCTTGTGTGCTAATGCATAGAATGATATTTAGAGGTTTATTTAGGTTTAAAAATCTGTTTTAAAAACACCATAAAAAAGGAAGATGTTCCAAATACAAACCCCAAAATTAATTTTCTAAATTGTATCCTTTTTCTTGTGCTTTATTTTATACTCCATTTTTTTTTTTTCATGAACATTAAATCTACTTTTACGGTCACCCCTACTCCCCCCTTGTTTTTTTACATTTAATTTTTTTTTTTTTTTCTTAGTGCGATCATTACAACAATAAACAGCGAAGAAGTTTGGTTTAAAAGACAAGATGGCAGCAAGTCCAAACTATATATTTCACAGCTTCAAAAAGGAAAATACAGCATAAAGCACATCTGATTATGTACTTTGTTTCAACTGCCACTTGTCATTTCTGAACTGGCCTCTGGGACAATCTGTGCCATTCAAAGGAATATACATAGATATCTTTCTATATATATATATATTTAACTACCTGTGTTCTTGTATTTGCAAATATTACCGAGCCTGTGCTTGTGAGCGTGTATGTGTTGACTGTATGTTATTGTTTATCATATTGCGCATTCAATTAAGATAATCATCAGTGGAAAATGTTATAGATGTATTTGAGTTCGGTATGGTATTTGAAATACAGCGTGACCTCATTTATTGCCAAATCCTATTAAGCTGTGCGATTCTTCAAAAGGGAATATTGACTGTGGGAAATTTTGAAGCTTATGTGGTTGGCCAACTTTATACAATATTTACAAATGGCTATAGAATGCTGGTAACTTAATCAGACAAAGCTTTCTAAGCAGAATCACCCACTGCGTGTAGCTCACATCTTTTTTAAGTATTTATATGCATGCATATATCTGAAACCACTGCACAAATTTAAGTGATACGGTTGTATATGTGTATGTGGGAAAAAAAATATTTTTTTTTGCTTCCCTGTATTACATAGACACTTATGACTCATCTCTCATTGTGAGTTTATGTGCAGTTCTACAAGCTGTAAGTAGAATTGCAGTAGCCTGTTCTAATGATTTTTTTTTTCAAGTGTCTTTGCAGAATTTAATTTAAAGATATGTGACTTGTAAACAAAACAAATCTGATTTTAGTAGTGTTTTTTTTTTTTTGTATTTTTTGTATTTTTTTTGGTTTGTTTATCTCTTCTCTCCCCCCCCTTAAAGTTGATTTTTAGTTTTTCTTCTCAAATCTCTTGGAGGAAAGGGACAGAGAAGATGGCAGGTGGTAATCTGTCTGCCTAATAGTATTACAAAGGGATGTATGCTCTTAGGGCCCTGTATTAATGAAAAGATAATATTCTAGTTTGCTCTTTGTATGCACCTAGCTGTCATCTTTAAGCTATACTTTGAAGTAAATGCTAGCTTGGACCAAACTTGATGTATTCAGTCCTGTTTACCTTGAATTAATTCTAAAGATAAATAGTTAAATTTCAAATAGCAGTTGATCTGTCTATTTTGGAACTGGCAGTCTTTAAACCATGATATTGGGAGATGTTCTCGTAAAGTCTAACACCGTAATACAGGATTAATTTAATCGTGCTGCTAAAGCTTGCAGAATCATTGAAAGTCTGCAAGTGCCTAAATACAAGATGATCGTGTTTAAATTATACAGTTTTACAAACTGAGTATTTGGATTGCACAGGTTCTTGGGTGGAGATCTCAGTAGATGACCTGGTGTAGCTCACTGTGCATGTATTAATTGATAAGATTATTGGAAACTGCCATAGTAAACGCAGATTTATATAGTCCCCATGCCAACTGTTAAACTGTTATTACTTACCCTGTATTATTTTTATTAAACCTATATTTCTATGTAACTTCCATAATTCTATGCCTCGTTCCTCTAAACGGGCTACATTTAGCCAGTAAAGCACCAGGTATATGGCAGAGAAATAAATGTAAAATATTCAGTCTTTCTATGTCGTTCAGAGGGGCTTTAAACATCTGCTATCCTTCATCTACTTTGTGCAGAAGCCTTTGTATGCCAAAGTACAATGGTTGTAAGATATATGTATATCTATCTCTATATCTCTTATCCCCCAACATATACTCTTTGGAGGGTGGGGGGGGGGAGGTTGTGTAAATGTTTCCGCTTTTATTTTTTTTCTATAGTGTGAAATGTTATGTCTTAAGATTTTTTTATTTTTTTTCCTTGCAACTAGGTGTCAAATGTAGCAAAGCGATGCAGATTGCCTCTACAGCAGGGTTGCCCAAAAGGTGGATCCCCAGATGTTTTAAAACTACAGATTCCATGATGCCTTGTCATTCTAAAAAGGCACACAAAAGAATCATGGGTGGGAGTTGTAGTTCTTCAACATCTTGGGATCTACCCTTTGGGCACTTCTTCTCTACAGCAGTCTCCGTGATAGTGGACTTCTACTTCCCTCCCCGAGCTCTGCCCCTACATACATGTATACTTTTAACTTATATGTTTTGTGTAAAATCATGAAAGGAACATAAAGCACCATAACCACAACAAATATATTCATGTCTTATTGTGCTTACAATGTCCATATAAGTTTGCCATCTAGTTATTCTTTCACAAATCCTATTTATTTCTATATAAGAGCTTTGACACGTGAAAATAGAATTTTTTACCTCTCAGGATTAAAATGTTTTGGGGTTTTTTTTTCGTTTTTTTTTTTTTCATTGGGAGTCTTATTGAGATGTGCAAATTGCTCATGTCTATTGATTACAAGGAGAACGAGGGGGCGGCGGCAAGATCATCTTTCTACCCTATGTCTAAACAAGGGAGGGAAATTAGATTATTAAAAAAAACCTATAGGAATGGTAGCGAGGAAATTATTTTATGCATTATCTTCCCCCATCCGGTTTCTCTGCCTCTTTTAAATCCTTTTAAACGTAACTTGGCCATATTAATTGAGTACCAATTTTAATGCTGCTTGCATTGTGCTTTCCATGGCGATTGAGGGATGGCTTACACATTTTATCCAATGTTGTCTTGACTGCTGTTTAAACGGTTTGTTACTTCTAGCTATGTCATTCTAGAACAAGTTGGAAAGTTAATATGCCAAACATTCTTTTTTATTATAAAAATGTTTTAACTCTTAAAGGGCTGTCAAGTATGCCATATCAGTTACTCTTTTTCTCAAAGCATTGGTTATATTACCAGTCTGTAATTAAGTTGGGGGGGAAAAACCCTTTGTGAATACAAACACACTTTGTATGTATGGAATGTTACAGAAAAGTCTGTTACATTACATATTGACTGTGTAATGGGATTCAGCATTGTGATGAGGAAATATGCCAGTGTAATTTTATTTTATTTTTCTTCATTGTATTGTAATAAGCACTATTTGACGATGCCGGATTGTCTTTTAAGTACTACCTCTTATCACTGCTTGTACTTTGTTGTCTGTCAATTAATTCATCATATTTTATAATTTGTCTGTCTTCCATTCTGATCGCATTTCTTCATTGGACCAATTTTGACATGTGTCACAATGCTTGTCTTTTGAATTTTATTTTATATTTTTACTATGAGATTACAATTTCCTCAGTTTTTTTTTTAAATTTTTGTTGATAATAAAATGCATTAGCCTGTATTAAATATCTTCAGTGAGAGCCGGAAGCTCTCCCAAGTATTTCTGTTGACGTTTTCTACCTAGTTATCAGTTTATTGTAAATACTATTTTGATTGGAGAACAAGTCACGGGTAATGCAATTTTAAACGGGATCTATGTTTAAAATGAAATTTAAAAAATAAAGTTAAAATCCACTGCCCTAGATAAGAGGGGGATTTCTTCCCCAAAATAATTTGTAAAAGCACTGCTTTGATATTATAAATTAGTCTCTTAGAAGATGCTGATTGGTGTGGAGTTTTGCAGTGCCTCTGAGAGTCTCCCAATGGTTATCTATGGCAAAGCATTGGATTGGCTGAGATCATCCAGATTGACTATCTCAGCCATGGAGGTCAGCCACCGCAAAGAAGTAAAGCAAGTAAAATATCTCTTCATTGCAATCTGAAGGGAACCGGTGCCTAAACTGCTACCCTAGCGCTATAGTGTTAGAATACATGTTTGCATTTGTAATACTGTAGTGTTCCTTTATAGCAACACCCCCATGCACCATAACCACAATAGCTCACTATAGTGGTTGTGTCATTAGTGCCCTGACAGCCCCTGGGGTAAAAAAGAAAAATTAAAACCATTGCAAAATTGTTTTTGACAAGTTGACAAGCTGGGGTGCTGCTTGCCACCTCTTCCATCTGGAAGTCTCTTGCACTAAACTAAGACCTATGGTACAGGGAGGTGTTCGTTGGATGAGAACACTCAGCTGGCGATCTCAGCCCATGAGCCATCCTGCACTGCAGAGTTTGGCTCTAGAAAACTATTGTTATTTGCAGGAGCTCCATCTTAAGAGAAAGTGGGAACTTGAGTCCAAGAGACTCTCGGTAACTTGTGACTACTCCTGTCACGTAGCTGTTCCTGCGGGCTTCAGTTGTCATGGTGCTTGGAGTGCCTCTTTAAGAACACATTTAGCATTCCCATGCTCAAAACCGAAGGCCGCTACCATGAGCATTAGTAGACTTTGTCCCTATGCATAGACTGATCTTGTTTCTAGCAATCCTTTTTTTTTTTTTTTTTTTTTTAAACATTTTTTAATCAATTTTAAGGAAAAGCAACTGAATTTATTTTAAAAAAGTAGATTTTTTTTTAAAATAATTTTTAGGATCTTTAAGCTATTTTGATCAGTTTTGCTTACTGTAGTAGATCTCACTGAAGATATTTATTTTTGCTACAGGTGTACATTACATTGAACATGATATATGTAATGTTTCTACCCAATATGAGGGGGGGGGGAGAAAACCTTATGTATTGTCTTCATTATTGCCTTCATTTTTTTGACTTGACAATTTGTATAAACTGTCATTATGTGCCATATTATATTTGAAATCTTCATCATTTTGTATATGTCCTCATTTCTTTACATTGTAATTTATCACACATTATATTACAGGGTTGAGATATATAATTTATTGTAAACGTTAATTTTTCATTGGCATTATCTATTCTTATTTAGAAAAATTGGGCAGACTAGATGGGCCGAATGGTTCTTATCTGCTGTCACATTCTAGGTGTCTATGGTATATTCTATCCTGGAATGTTGCTGGTCAGACATTTGTACATGTACATAAATGGACACTCAAAGCATTATAACACACTGTGTATTGTAGAGGTGGTGAAGAGTTCTCGGCACTGTACAATGGTAATCTGACAAACCCATTTTATTAAATTTGAATACTTATGTTAGGTGCCCCATGGTTCTTCCAGGATCATCAAAGGTGTACACACATTAATATTGATTTCTAATGTTTGATTCAATAGTATTTCCAGGGAAGTGAGCGACTTATAATCTTTCCAGAGCAAATACCGATTTTTATATTTAAAGTTGTGAAGAGAAAAAAAACGTATTAAACAAAAATGGCATTAGCTGAACATGCTGACAGCAATTACACTCCTTTCACTCACATGCAGCCAGTCCATGCTCTGATCAGTTGAGTGCAACATGTATAGTGCTGTTACTGATGGGAGTTTACTGTCGGCAATCACAATACTATCGCTGCCAGCCCAGTTCATTATAGTAGATTATTTACTGTCTCGTCTCTCTGCCTTCAGCTGAGTTCCACATGTAGGGGACTTAAAAGGTGATGTCATATCCTGGTGCTTAATTAGTTGGCGAAGCGGGACCCAGACCTTGTCCGGGCAGCGGTGCGTGGACCGGGACTCCTGAGTGCCTGATGTTCAGAGTAGGAGTCACAGGGTGGAGGTGAATTAGCAGGGTAACCGCACGCCCCCTGGTGTTGAGCACCAGCGTTTGTGCAGCCACATATCAGAACCCTGATTCAGCTTCAGCAGATCCCAGAAACTAGGAGCAGGTAATTAAGCAGACCTCCCAGGAGCTGAATAGGGAGGCTCTGCAGCAGGGATGTATCCAGTACTGAAGCAAGGCAAGGCACCATACAAGAAAACAAGACCAAACTAGGAGAACCCAGAACCAGAGCAGGACAGAAAGCAGAAACTAGAACATGTACACAAGATATGAGGAAAACAAGAACATAACATGGGCATGACTGGACAGGACTGTACATGGACTGGGATTGCAAGACAAAGTAAAACAAGAGGAAGCATAGCTAAGCACTAATTATGAAAAGTATGGGGATTTAGTCACATTATATGATCATACATTGCACAAGCCTGCCAACAATGCCAATGTACCCCATATCGGCAGGTCCGACACTGCCTAATGCAAGCTAAAACAACCATACTAAACCACAATATAGCACTTACCTGCAAGAAAGGGTAGAGACTTGAAACACTGCTGCAGGTCCAAGCTGAAACAAAAGGAAAGTGGAAAACAAATGGGTGTGGCAACATAAAACAAACATTTGAGTGAATCCAAGAGACTGGGAAATCCAGGGACAGAATATAAGAAGAGATTTTAATTACCCGGATATAAATTGGGACAGAGGGACTAGTGCCTCAGCAAAGGGAATTAGGTTTTTAAACTTGTTAAATGACACCTTCATGTCACAACTTGTACAAGCACCAACTAGAATGGATGCTTGTCTGGACCTGGTTTTAACAAACAACATTGATCTTTTGACCAACATTCAAGTAGGTGAGCACTTGGGAAATAGTGATCACAATATAGTGTCCTTTGAAATAAACTCAAAAAACAAAAGCACATGGGGAATACTAAAACATATAATTTTAAAAAGGCCAATTTCAATAAGTTAAGGGAAGCTTTACAATATATTGACTGGCATAAACTCTTTAGTGAAAAGAACACTGAGGATAAATGGATCATCTTCCAACAAATATTACAAAGGTACATTTCTCAGTATGTACCGTTGGGAAATAAATATAAAAGAAACAAATTAAAACCAATGTGGCTTAGTAGAGAAGTAAAACAAGAGATTACAACTAAGAGAAGGGCATTTAAAGCATTTAAATCGGACAAATCAGATGCATCTTATAAAAGATATAAGGATGCAAATAATGCGTGCAAAAAGGCAATTAGACTTGCTAAACTTCAAAATGAAATAATGATAGCTGAAGAGAGCAAAACCAACCCCAAAGCATTTTTTAAGTACATAAATTCTAAAAAAAAACAAAATGAAAGTGTAGGTACACTAAAAACTGAAACGGGGGTGTTAATTAATGAAGACCAGGAAAAGGCAGGAATTTTAAATAACTATTTCTCCTCCGTATATATTAAGGAAGAACCCATGGCAATAGATGTGCAAATGATTGCTACTAAAAACTTGCAGAATAATTGTAATTGGTTAACTCAAGACAAGGTGCTGCAGCAACTAAAGAAAGTTAATATAAACAAAGCTCCAGGGCCTGACGGTATCCATCCACGTGTACTTAAGGAACTAAGTGCAGAAATAAGTGAACCTCTGTTTTTAATCTTTCAAGATTCTTTTCTTTCAGGAAGTGTTCCGGAGGATTGGAGGAAGGCAGATGTGGTTCCTATATTCAAAAAGGGTTCAAAATCCTTGCCTGGAAATTATAGACCTGTGAGCTTAACTTCTGTGGCTGGTAAAATATTTGAAAGGTTATTAAGGGATAATATTCAAGAATTCCTTGAGAAGAACATGGTTATCAGCAAAAAATCAGCATGGTTTTATGAAGCACAGGTCATGTCAAACTAACTTGATTGCGTTCTACGAAGAAGTAAGTAGAAGTATAGATCAGGGTGTTGCCGTGGATGTGATCTATTTGGATTTTGCCAAGGCATTTGATACAGTTCCACACAATAGATTAGTGTTCAAACTCAAGGAAATCGGTCTAGATGAAAATGCTTGTTCTTGGGTAGAACATTGGCTTAAAAACAGAGTACAAAGAGTTGTCATTAATGGTAAATTTTCAAGCTGGACAGAGGTGGCAAGTGGTGTCCCTCAGGGGGTCTGTTCTGGGACCCCTTCTATTTAACATGTTTATAAATGATCTTGAAGACCGCATTGAAAGTCATGTTTCAGTGTTTGCAGATGACACCAAACTTTGTAAAACAATACAATGTGAGCAATGTTGAAAAATGCAAAGTTATGCACTTCGGTAAAGAATACACAAGCAACGTATACCCTTAATGGAAGCGAATTAGGGATAACAACACACGAAAAGGACTTGGGAATTGTTATAGACAACAAACTATGCAACAATGTGCAATGTCAATCAGCAGTGGCCAAGGCCAGTAAGGTATTGTCATGCATGAAAAAGGGCATTCATTCCTGGGATGAGAATATCATTTTGCCCCTTTATAAATCACTGGTAAGACCACATATTGAATATGCTGTGCAATTTTGGGCACCTGTTCTAAAGAAGGATATTATGGCACTAGAAAAAGTGCAGAGGCGGGCTACAAAATTAATAAAGGAATGGAACATATCAGCTATGAAGAAAGGTTAACAAATTTAAACCTCTTTAGTTTAGAAAAATGTCGCCTGAGAAGGGGATATGATAACATTATACAAATATATTAGATACAAACCATTGTGTGAAATCTATTCACAAGCAGGACTTTACATAGGACGAGGCCATGAGAGTTTAGACTGGAAGAAAGAAGATTTCGCCTAAGGCAAAGGAAAGGTTTTTTTACTGTAGAACAATCAGGATGTGGAATTCTCTGCCTGAGGAAGTGGTTTTATCAGAGTCCATACAGATGTTCAAACGGCTACTAGATGCATACTTGCAAGAACAGAATATTCGAGGATATAATCTTTCAATGTAGGGTAATAACTGCTTGATCCAAGGATAAATCTGACTGCCATTCTGGGGTCAAGAAGGAATTTTTTCCTAGCTTGTTGCAAAATTGTGCTTCAAACTGGGTTTTTTTGCCTTCTTTTGGATCAACAGCAAAAAACAAATGTGAGGTGAGGAACTTGATGGACGCAAGTCTCTTTTCAGCTAATAATAACTATGTAACTATAAGAATGAACTCAGAAACCCAGCAACAAAGAAAACCAGACATAGACCAGAAAAACCAAGCAAGGACAGCAAAAAGAGTACTGGATACCAGAAGCCATTGCCAGAATGATCTGCAGCGAGGAACAGTATGTGACATAACTCCCCTCCTGAGGAGCGTACTCCGGACGCTCCCAACAGCTCACAGGCAGAGACTGGGAATGGCGAGTGGATCCTGCAACGAACTCCTCTTGACTTACACGGAGGCAAGGATCCCCCACCGGAAAGGTCTCCTGCATAGGAACCACCAGAACAGGAGCGCTGCCACAGAAACGGAACCAGGAAACCAGCATCACAAGGAAACACCTGAAACGACCATCGTACCGCTTGGCAGATCGACCTCCTCCACGACAAAAATAAGGAAGCCATCTCCAGCAGATTGGTCCAGATACAGCTACTCTTGTATGCTGCATAATCCAGGAGGAACTAGAACAAGAAACCAGGAACTAAGCATCACAAGGAAACACCTGAAACGACCACCGTACCGCTTAGCAGATCAACCTCCTACACGACAAAAATAAGGAAGCCATCTCCAGCAGACTGGTCCAGATACAGGAACTCATATATGCAGTCTTCTCAGACAGAACATGACACAAACAGAGCAGAACAGGAAAGCTGCAAAGTCCACTCCACAAACTCCCAAGTGCCTACGGCCATACTGTCAGGGTGGCGGTCCGGTTCCCAGGACCCAGACAGTGTCCAGGCGGCGATGCGTGGACCGGGACCCATGTATGCTTGATGTTTAGAGTAGGAGTCACAGTGTGGAGGTGGATTAGCAGGGTCTGGTGCAGGGTAACCGCACCCCCTCTGGTGTTGAGCACCAGCGTTTAAGCCACATACCAGAGCCCTGATTCAGCTTATGCAGATCCCAAGAACTAGGAGCAGGTAATTAAGCAGACCTCCCAGGAGCTGAATAGGGAGGCTCTGCAGCAGGGATGTATCCAGTACTGAAGCAAGGCAAGACTAGAGATAGGCACCA